CGTTTGTAACTTTCGGAGAATCGCTTCGCATTGAAGACAGAGTTGAAATCAGCGTTTCAACCTGCATCGTATATATCTTTTCTTGAATCTTCGAATAAGTTTATCGTTGTTAGATAAACACTAGGGACAAAGCTTACCGAGAGAGGAACATTTAGGAGTGACAGTGTACGTTAACAATGTTGAAAAAGGTCAATCCGAGATTTATGTCGTACTGGACGAGGCTCAGATTGGAATGCGAATTCGGGAGACTTATGCTATTGACATCGATAGAAGGTTTAAATATATGGAAAGTCTTGGATTGTTAGATTTACAAATTTCAGTACCACCACAGTATAAAGTTGTAAGTTATGCGGAACTCTTACGTTTTTTTTTTATAATCAGCATTTCACGTTCTTTTCTTGAGGGGGTTACACCTAGAACAGCGGATATGCCAAGAGTGGAAGGGTTAATCAATCCTTTTCCGGATGAACCTTTCCAGCAGCAATATGCTCAGCTCACTTGGACAAGTGTTAATGAGCCAGGAACTCGGACGCAGCTTATGAGATGTGCATTTTTGATTTCTCAGGGATTCAAATCTATTTGGACTCACCAGATCAATTTGATTTCAGATAGGGTTAAGGGTGAATTGGAAGTGCAAAGTGTTGTGACACAATCAGAAGACCTTACAGATCTTTTCACATCTAGAAGCGACAGGGAAACTTTGTTCCAGGTAATCTAATTGACCCACCTTCCCTCCCTTCCTCGCTCCTTCCCTTGCCGTTTCTCCCCTTTTTTCCTATAGATATTTTGATCCATATCGTTCAGGCTTTCGCAGATCACTATCTGAAAGGATCAGTGTACAAAACGTCCTCGAAGTATCACACGTACGCTTCGTAATTTCATTCTTTGATGAGATGTCTTCAAGGCAGACTTTTACAGCGCTCAATATACGTTCCATCCGCAAACGGAGATGACTTTCAGAAATTTCTTGGCATTCTGCAGAACACCAAGAAGTAAGGATTTCATGCTTTGAAATGCTGTACCTCTGCTTTTTTTTACGTGAGCCTTTTCTGTTTCAATTTGATTGATAGGTTTTTGTCAAAGAATTAGCTAGCTACATAATTCTATGACTTTCTGCATCTATACTGTTTTTTCTTTAAACTTTTATTAATTAACTTTGCTTTTT